TCGACGATTTTCAAAATGGCGGCTCGTCGGGAGAAGATCTAAACCCAGGTCTTCTCCTGACGAGCCGCCATTTTGAAAATCGTCGAGGTTTCTCAAGACCGCTGAAAAAGAAAGAAATAATAGGAAAAGAATGAAGACAGAAGGAAAAGAAGGGAATGATGAGATCTGACAAACGAGGGACACCAGGTTACCAAGCTCCACATGTGTTACGAACATGGCGGCTCTTCTACGTTACGGGGCTGCGAGATCATGGAGACTTTTGACAGCTTGCACGGTACGAAATCTTTCGATTTACCAACGAAACTCACCGGCTCTTTACCAAGAGAATATCTTGAAAGCATGCACACCCAGTGTTAATTCCTCAAGGTGTTTAACTTACGAAACTTTGGCGAATGAAGCTACCGAAAATACTACAGAGGTCGGAGCTGCGGCCGCGGACTCCCAAATTGCACGTAAGGAAACGGGCTCCGGTCTGGGGCACTATCACTACGAGAGAAATGTAAAGCAACTGGGAACAATTTTCACGAGGCACCTCCTTCTTCGAACATTCAACGAAATTCTTAAACGAGGTAAAGTTCCGTGACAGTTTTCTTACATAATATTTTTATTGGTCTCTTTTGATTTTCTCCCCAAGTTGGCAGCTTGAAGTATGGACTACATGTATGTTTCATTTCGTACTTGAGATCGGTATTTCTGTTCACATGCAAAGTCGCTCGTAGAACTGTCCCTCCTTTTTTTCAAACATCGCACATCCTATGGCCGATATAGGCATTAAAACCTTATGTAACACGTGAACTAAGCTTATCTTAATTTAACCTATTAAAAATCCATTAATTTCTTCTTGCCCTTTACATTTTTATAGCATTCAAGATGTTAGATTTCAGGTAGTTAAGTAAGTTGCCTTTGACCAAAACTTGCTTTTGACCAAATATTAAATTCTCCCAGCTTCAATCATACGAACTGTTTGAAACAAGTAAGGAGAATTTAGAGTCATACTTTGGACAGTGACTTTAGGGAACTGGAACTAAATTTCTGTAGATTTTTTTCAAAATAAAGTAAAGGCAAGGATACATGTATTCCTTGAATATGGAGCAAATGAAAGATGGCATCAGTTGTTATGCCATGTCTACTCCCCAGAAATTGTCACGACATATACGTTACAGCGTGCGAAGAAAGCTGTGTGCGATAGCCATTAACATGGACACAGCCTGAAAACATCAATGGAAAACTGGACATGCGTACTCTAAAATAGGATGGATACATTTCATGTAGAACAGTAGCATATCATTCGATGGGACCTTAGCGCGCTTAAGCTGTTTTAGGAAATACAGGGCTGGTGTGTTGCAGCCTTTTTGCAAAATTAATAGATTCAACATGGGTGTTCCACTTGAGGTTATCTGAAACTACAACTCCCAATAGCTTTGCTTATTGTTTAGAGTAACAGAGTTAACATAAAAAGTTAAATAACAAACTTGTACATAGTACAACTGTAGTTTAACTGCCAAGAGTAACTTAGTTTCTTTTTATTAACTCTTATTTAAATTCATCAATGATCAATGAGCTCTGGAATGGTGCCTGAAAGGATGGTGGAAACTAAACTGAGTGCATAGGGTATCCATGACAACCCTGTGAGCAGCAACCACCAGGCACTGTCACACTGAAAAAACAGTGGAAACACAGGATACTTACCACACACTTACCCTCAAGCCAACGAGGGATGGGTGGCTAGGAGAAAAGCTTGACTAGCACTGTCCAGCAGCAAAAAAAATAATAAAAAAATAAAAATTAATAACGTGGAATGGTTTGACATGCAAAGCCAAGCTGTAAAATCCAGGCACCTCTGCACAAATCCCTCGGCCACTGTGCCGAACTCACCCTGAGGGAGACTGCTTGCCAGCAATCTTGTTTTGTGTTTAACTTAGCCTAAATTATTTTTAGCCACATTTAGTTGACTTATTTATTAAGGTTGCTGAAGACAGTTTTTGATACCTGTGTTTCATTCACCTTTTTCTCTAAAACCCTTGATCCCTCAGTCGTCAAAAATGGCAGCAAGCAAGTTAACAACACAATCTTTG